GGGCCCCCGTCCACACCATCCGTCCGATGGGCCCCCGTCCACACCATCCTTCTGGGCCCGGCCCCCGTCCACACCATCCGTCCCATGGACCCCCGTCCAGACCATCCGTCTGGGCCAGGCCCCCATCCATACCATCCGTCTGGGCCAGGCCCCTGTCCACACCATCCGTTTGATGGGCCCCGGTCCACACCATCTGTCCGATGGGCCCCCGTCCACACCATCCGTCTGGGCCAGGCCCCTGTCCACACCATCCGTTTAATGGGCCCTGATCCACACCATCTGTCTGATGGGCCCCCGTCCACACCATCTGTCTGGGCTGGGCCCCCATCCACACCATCTGTCCAACGGGCTGGGCTCACCCACTTTTTCACACCGGATCTCACAAATTGCTGCAACCTGCGGTACAAAACGCCGAGGCCCAGAGAGGGGGGCTGACCTGCCCGAGGCTACACAGGGGGAGCTGGGGTTAGGATCTCCCACTGGCATCTATTGAAATTCTAGAGCCAATGCTCAGTGGCTTAAAAAGGGCATTCTCACCATGAAGAAAGTGTAGCACTCCACAGTGGGAGAGGATGCTTGCAAATCATACCTCTGACAAGGATCTAGCATGTAGCACATACGAAGAACTCGTACAACCCAATAATAAAAAGATAAATAGCCCAACTCATAAATGAGCCAAGGAGTTCAACAGATATTTCCCCAAAGAAAATACAGAAATGGCCAAAAAGGACATGAGAAAGATGCTCCACACCTTGGTCATTAGGGGAGTGCAAGCCGAAACCACAGTGAGACACCGTTTCTTGCCCACCAGGCTGGTTTCAGTCACGAGAACAGACACTAAGGGGTATTGCTGAGGGTGTGGAGACATGGGAGCTGATTTGGCGCTGGTGGGATGCAAGCCGGTGCAGCCGCTGTGGAAGCCAGTTTGGTGGCTCCTCCAAAAGTTTGGCGTAGAAGGACCACACGATGCAGCAATTCTACACTCAAGAGAAGCGAGCGCACGTCCACTCGGCACTGGACACAGAGGGTCCCAGCCGCTCTGTTCACACTGGCCGAAGAGTGCATACAAACCTCGTGTCCCCCCAGGGGTGTCCCTCCCTAAAATGGCGCCCTGTTCACCCACAGGAGGAATGCTACATCGTGGACGAACCATAAAAACGTGATGCTCAGTGAGAGAAGCCACACGCTGTTGCATTCTGTGTGTGTGAAATGGTTCAGGGGTGCTGGGGCGACTGCTAATGGGTGAGGAGAACATTCTGGAATTGGTGGTGATGTGGCATGTCATGAATGTACTAGAAACCACAGAATTCCACCCTTCAAAATGATGAGTTTCATAGAAAATAAAGCAGGGTAAATTTAACTCAATTTAACCATGATGTACAGGCACATTACTAAAGAAAAAGAATAAAATGCCTTGGTCATTTTGTTACCAAAAAAAGATGGTGAATTTTATGGTATGTGACTCAAATCTACACGAGTCATTTAATAAAGCATGCGTCTCCTGCGGCCCAGTTTGCTGATTTGTTGCTGAAGGCCCAGCCAGTTTTCCTTTGCTGGTCCGGGATGCGATGGCACTTGTGTGTGTATTTACCGATGGAGTTCATGTTCTCGTGTTCAGTTACTTTGTGTGTCTGCGTATGTAGGGTTATGGCAGTCAGAACGGCAGGCACCAGGCACAGGCCCCTTCCCAACTGTGCAAATGGCCAGTTTCCCAGACGAGGGGTCTCCTGACCACGCAGTCTCCGTGTCTGGTGAGCAGCCATCTGGAGGACACGGGAAGGCGGCCCAGGGGCTCCCACCGTCTGGAGGACACGGGAAGGCGGCCCAGGGGCTCCCACC